CTTAACCTCTTTTTTGTCGAGGCGAATTCGAAGCAGGCGGCGGGCAACGAGAGGAGGAGGGCGCGCGCGTGGGGACGGCGTTGGGTCTTGAAACTTTGAAACCGTCCCTGTGACCTTTTTTTTACAAAAAAAAAACAAGCCAACAACCCTGCGCCCCATCCTTATTTGAACAGGGAAATTGCCACTTTTTTTTCTCGCGGGCTGTTTCTGGTTTTGAAAGGGGCAAGAACCGCGAGCGCCGCACACGAAGACGCCCGCAATGGAGCGAGCGGCGCCGTCGGCCTTCGAGGCGGCCCTTGCGGATTTGCTGCTGGCGGAGCTGCGGCGGCAGGGGGTGCCGCGCGTTGCCGAAGTTGTCTGCGCCGTTATGCGGCGCGTGCGTGTCGGGGGCGGCGGCGGGCAGGAGGGGGAGGAAGGGGCGGCGGAGTTGCTGCTGGGCGGGGCGGGGCTCGGCGACAAGGGGGCGATTGCGGTGGCGGAGGCCCTGCTGAAGCTCAGTCGCTCGCCCCTGGCGAAGGCCCGCGGCGCGCGGCGCTGGAAGCTTTTGCTCAACGACGACGGCCTGACGGACAGGTCGGCGGCGCACGTCGCGCTGCTTGCGGCTCGCTGCGCACCTCCCCTGGTGCTGCTGGACGTGCGCGGCAACGCGATGACGCCGGCGGCTTTGCAGCGCATAGAGGAGGCCCACGCCTCGTCCCCCGCCCCCTGCGTTCTTCGGCTGCCCTGCTTGGCGGGTCGCGGGGCGGGGTCGCGCGCGGGGAGCGTCTCCTCGGCCTCCGCGTCGGGGCGGCGTGGCGGGGTGGACGCGGAGGCGCTGCAGAGGCGCCGCTCCGCGCTCTTTTCGGGAGGCGGCCGCGCGAGCGAGTCTGCGCCCTCCGCCGCGTCGGGGGAAGGGCCGGGCCGCCCGCCCAGCCGCTCGGGCGGGGGCGCGGCGGCGGTCGAACTTGCGGCGCCGCACCCCGCCACGCCGGGAGGGAGGGAGCGGGCGGCGCGGGAGGAGGAAGAGGAGGTCCGTTTTCGCGGCGCGGACGGCGGGGAGCCCCTCGACGTGGCGGCGAACCTCAGCCCCCTCCTGCGTGTTGTGTTGGATCTCTCCAACGCGGTGCCCACCGGCCGTTTGCGTGCGCTTTACGGCTGCGACGACATCTGGGACGTTGTGGCCTCGTCGGGCGAGGCGGCGCCGAAAGCGGTTCCGTCCGCCCGCCCAGCCGCTCGCCCGGGGTGGCGCCGGCGGGTTCTTTTTCTTTTTGGTGGAAGAAAAAAAAAAGGAAGACAAAAGTCAGAAAAGAAGGAAGCACGATTTATTCTTTCTCCATCGCCTGCGCTGTCTCGCGCGAAGCGGCCCCCCCAGCCAAAAGGGGCGGTTTCCGAAACGAGATCGGCCCACCATCTATTAAAACATTAGGCCCCAACGAAGGGGCATTGCTGCTAAAAAGCGTCCTTCGCCCTTCCCCCGCGCGTTGAGGGGAAATGTGGAGGGGTGCCGGGCGGGCGGCGCCCTCCAGACGCACCGTTTGCGGTAATATATATATTTGATAAAGCAAGAAGGGCGAAATTCGGCACACCCCGCCGAACACACACGTAGGACCAACGAATTCCTTCTGCTACTTATCAAAAAAATCAAAAAAACAAAAACAAAAAAAAA